AGGTCTTATAAGTGCTGAAGATTAGATACGTTACAGAAGAGTAACTAACACAAAAGGGGGAGAGATACAAGGACGATAGATGTTTGATAGGAAAGGATGAGCAAACCACACCAGAGCACCCGCCAACCACCCAGATACTACTTTTTGTTTAAAAATACTTGATGTGTTATATTGCGTATAATATTGTGCTACACGTGGCTTTTTCTAACAGATCTATGCTTCATTCTCATCATCTCAACGACACGGAAATGAAAACTTGAAGTTTTAAAGCTATACTTCAGTTACAAAATTCCCATACTTACAGAATGGCTTTCTTATATCTTTATGTTTAAGGTAGACTGCATCTTCCCATACAGTTTTTTTTTCAAACAGACTGGAAAACATTGCAGTCACACATTTCATATACAACTAAGATTAACATTGAATATGCGCATTAGTATTTTGTTTATGGGCCATTGCTTTCCTGAAAAGCATGCATCTATTTTTTTGCATGGACTGTTTAAGATTCTGGTCATAATTATCTTTTTTTTTCAAATAACAAAGAGAGTTTTGAACAAAGTGTCTGAACTAGGGGCAAATTCACATTCTCTCAGTTGCATTTTCATGAGGCTCTTTATGTTTTCTATTATTATATTGTTGGAATCGGGATTGATCTATTGGTGGTCACTCCAAAGTTGGTAGCCTTTGGTTCTCCCAAAACTGTATAGTGACATTGACCCTGTGAGAAGATGTGTTGTCATGCACGAAGATGTCTTACCCCCCGGGCCGGTTCTACTCTCTGAAGTGTCTTTAGGCCGTTCCCAAACTAAGGACATTAACATGTTTTTATGCAAAGTAGAATTGTAAATGGGCCGATTCATCAATGTCATGCTCATAACTGTGCTTGAACTGCAACAGTGAACTGCAGCATTTTCTTTCCTAATCCTTACCATCGTCTTTTTTCCTTTACTTTTTTGTATGCTTATCACACTCTTGTGACCCTCTATTTCCGGGGTGCCTTGATAGTCGAAGTGGACTTTGTGCTGTTGAAGCTTGAGAGGTGAGCAGAGTAAGCCTGATTCCCTGTAAAAACTTTTCTGTTGACATACACACCTTTGCGTTCATATGACCTTGCAGTTGCGATCGTCGTAAAAACTCTACTAAAACTAAAAACTAACTAGCAGATGTCTATTTGAAAGACACGAGACCAAATAAGGGTACAACTCGACGTTCCGGCAACTTGCGCGGTGGAGTCCTCTTCATACAGACTTCCAGTGATTCTCAATGACGTGGTTTTGTTCATTCCAAAAAGATCACCCCAAGTCATACCAGTTTTGTAACCTCTGTTCTTCACTGACCAGATGATAATAAGGTCTAAGATCTAACACTCCATGCAAGAAAAAGACCACATGCTCTTCACGGAACCAAGAGTTGCTATACAAAACTACTATTACTACTACTACTACTACTACTACTACTACTACTACTACTACTACTACTACTACTACTACTACTACTACTACTACTACTACTACTACTACTACTACTACTACTACTACTACTACTACTACTACTACTATTGCTGCTGCTGCTGCTGCTGCTGCTGCTGCTACTACTACTACTACTACTACTACTACTACTACTACTACTACTACTACTGCTGCTGCTACTACTACTACTACTACTACTACTACTGCTGCTGCTGCTGCTGCTGCTGCTGCTGCTACTACTACTACTACTACTACTACTACTACTACTACTACTACTACTACTACTACTACTACTACTACTACTACTACTACTACTATACATGTACATGCTACTACTACTGCTACTACTACTGCTACTATTACTACTACTACTACTACTACTACTACTACTACTACTACTACTACTACTACTACTACTACTACTACTACTACTACTACTACTACTACTACTACTATTATTATTATTATTATTATTATTATTATTATTGTTGTTGTTGTTGTTGTTGTTGTTGTTGTTGTTGTTATTATAATAGATTGCATTTATATACCAATGAATCGTCTAAAAAATAAATCTACTTAAAGGGTAATAACTCGATCACCTCTAAGCTAATTTCAATGAAAGTTCAAACAAATAAAATGCAACCATAAGTTCCATAAGAACGTCAAGTTTGCAACTATGAAGAAAATCAATCAACGTATTTGAGAAATAACAAGTTTTAAACAATTTAATCAATATTGGGTAATACGCAACAACAACAAAATAAACATTCAGAAACTTTCTCGGCTTCCCGGGAAGCATACAGTTTAAGCTGCTATTTTCACGTGCTCAAACTCTAACATTCTGACAAGATCTTTCGCTGTATATAGCCGGGTACCCAATTCCATCCAGTCCAAGCTAGGAAAATTCATTTAGAGTGCATTTCCCAAGAGCACAATGTCGGGCCCATGATGGGATTCGAACTTAAGGCTTTACGATTGAGAGTTCAAGAGCCTAACTACTAGGCCACTGACGCCACACACATTGATTGACATATTTCCCTTTGTTGTTCATAGACATGTTTGAATCTAAACAGATACCAAGATGTTTTGGCCTTGCCGAAAAAAAGATATACTGGTACCTTTAGTTTCCAGATTCACATCATTCTGAACGCGCCTGCATCCCTGACAAGGATTGGTTTGTTTTTTTTAATAGCCTGAAGGGGTGAGACTGGCAACTATAACGCCATACCCAGCTAGTGAGAGTCAGATATCGATGATAAAAAGAATATCAAAGTTCTCTTCTGAAATTTAATGAAGTCGACTATTTACTCCGTCATGTTTCTGGTAGATTGTACATTCAAATAGCCGATACATGCATTGATCTTGGTGACGTCGGTCGGTATTTATGTATATCAGGTTCTTTGAGTAAATGTTTGTTCTTGAAGGGAGGTAAGTGTGTCTGTTGAAAAAATGATTTTATGTTCTGTTTATCTCCCCTTGGCTGTCGATTTGTTTTGGGAACTGCGTTGTTATTTTGTTCTTATCGTCCGTGACCACATTTTGGGCAAGTAAGTTTTGTTTTTTGGGTACTGAGTTCCAACTATTTATTGTCCGTATCGTTCTTGAACACATGGTGGGCTAGTTTGTTTTATTTTCAGGTCTAGGAGAAAACTGCTCCTCTTTTCTTTTGTTTTTTCCAGATGTAATGTTAAGTCCAATTTGTACGTGATATATTTGACTGCACTCTTTTCCAGTCTGTTTGAAACTACACTATATCAATTGTTGATATGCAACTCTCCATTCATTTGATATAGGCCTACACTTGATGTCCATTCCACTAATGTCAATGTATCCCAATGCATCTTACCTGGTTCAGATGCGAAGCTTGCATTAGAAACTTCACCTCTGATTTGGGCAGACTCTTTTAACTTTCTTTCTTTTAATTTTCCTTTTCTTACTTTTTCCTTTTTCTTTCCTTCTTTTTTTGTTTTTTGTTTTTTGTTGTTTTTTTGCGAAAAAGGGGGCTGGGGATCAAGACGAACAAAAGCAAATTCTCTTTGAACATGTTCTATACATGTATTTTCTTTGTTTAAAAAACTTGTTTTCATAATTGATGTGTTGCCTTCTATTCTTGTCGTCTTAAACAACGTTATGACTCTGGTTTTACTCCCCTCCCACACTACCCCCCCCCTATTCTTTCTCTCTCTCTCTCTCTCTCTCTCTCTCTCTCTCTCTCTCTCTCTCTCTCTCTCTCTCTCTCTCTCTCTCTCTCTCTCTCTCCTTCTTTCTCTCTTTCTCTATTTCTCTCTTTCTCTCTCTCCATTTCTCTTTCTCTCACTCTCCTTCTTCCTTCCCCTGTTCTCGCTCTCTCTCTCTCTTTCTCTCTCTCTTTCTCTCTCTCTCTCTTTATCTCTGTCTGTTTCTCTCCGTCTCTCTCTTACTCTCTCTGTGTTTATGTAAATGTGTCTGTGTGTTTCTTTCACACACTAACTCATTTGTCCCATTTCTATCTATCTATCTATCTATCTATCTATCTATCTATCTATCTATCTATCTATCTATCTATCTATCTATCTATCTATCTATTTCATCCATCTATAACTGTTTCTCTTTCTCTCTTTGTTTTTCTTTTGTCGGAATATTGTCCTAGACTTATCGCTAAGAAAGAACCAAGAAGTAGCAGTACCAAGGCTGCAATAAGAGTTAGGAGCCAGAAGGAAGAGGCAAAAGGGGTGGGGGTGAGGGCAGGAAGTGGAGACGAAAGCAGACGACAGAACATGGTTAGAGAGCAGAGAAAAAGGAGCTGTAAGGAGAACATTTTAGAGAAGAAATGTTTCCGTCGCTGTCAGGTTTTGACCACGAGAGCCCCCGTTAAAACTAACTGAAAGTTTAAAGAGAAAGACACACATTCATTATGCATTGTTGGAGCACACAGCAGCCATTAGAGTGTATATTTCGGTATAAAAGCTGCATGGCCCAGCTTGGTATTCTCTCCAGCAATGAAATCCCCTGTGCCCTTGTCCTTGTTTGAATTCTGATGCTTCAAGAGGCTGGTTAAAAATAAAGGGGGGGGGGGGGGGGCAGAGTGGTGCTTTATCAATTTAAGGTCATCCTGCGTCCTATTAATCTCTGGTTTGGCTTTAACGACTCTTTCAGAATTATAAGGTAATTTGGGAGATGGTCTGCTTTTGAATGCGATTTCCCATCCATCTCCTATAGGAATGAACTAAAAGGATAAAGACCAATGGGCATTCTTCAAACAACCAAAGATGTATGATACATGAACGTGCGTCTGTAATAGAGATCTGAGTGAGAGGAGAAGCTTTGAGTTAGTGAGAGTAGAGTATGGAGCGAGAGAAAGAGAGACGGAGAGAGATAGAGAGAAAGGGGAGGGGGCAGAGGGAAGAAAGCTATAACATTTTACTTGTTCACCTGCAAAGGATGTTTTAAAATTATCACAAAAAATGAAAAAGTAAGAAATAAAAACAAGCGTGGGGTTCTTGGTGCTTCAAATGTTTATTTATTTCAGTTTGCATCTAATTTCACTAGATCATTGTGTGTGAGTTGGGGGGGGGGGTGTTTCTTTAACGGCATGCCAAAGGGATTTGTAAATCACCCCTTCCTTCGTAAGCGTTATTTATTTTGTAAACGACTGTGTGGATATTTTGACTTTCATTATTGCGTCGTGTGTTTGTGTTAGATACTCAGAATGCTGTCTTCTCATCGGCGATGGAGTTAGCCAATTATCGGACCCTGGTCGAAGGAGCTGTAGTTTCCGTTGGTGGAGTTACCGGCGATGATGACCGAAGAGTTTCCACCTGTGAAGTTCCCGCCTGACGGGTTGATGACAAAGACAGGAAAGTTTCCACTTGTGGAGTTAAAACCTGTGAGGTTTCCACTTGAAGAGTTGCCGGCAAAAGTAGAGTAGTTTCCACTTGTGAAGTTTCCACCTGTGACGTTTCCAGCAAAGAGAGAAAAGTTTCCACTTGAGGAGTTTCCACCTGTGAAGTTTCCAGCAAAGACAGAAGAGTTTCCACTTGAGGAGTTTCCACCTGTGAAGTTTCCAGCAAAGACAGAAGAGTTTCCACTTGAGGAGTTTCCACCTGTGAAGTTTCCAGCAAAGACAGAAAAGTTTCCACTTGAGGAGTTTCCACCTGTGAAGTTTCCACCTGAAGCGTTGAAAGCGAAAGCTCTAGAAATGTTTCCACTCGTTAAATTCCCAGAGGAGAGAATAGCACCAAGTGTCGAATTTCCCGATGTTCCGTTTATTGCTGTGAATATACAAGAAGGAATAATATTATTGGTTAAAAACCATTGCACGCTTCGGAACTTAAGCAAATCTATCTATCTATCTATCTATCTATCTATCTATCTATCTATCTATCTATCTATCTATCTATCTATCTATCTATCTATCTATCTATCACCGAAGTTCTAAATGAATGACATGACAACTGCCTTCCTGAGATTACGACACAATATGATGTGGTTGAAAAACGCTAGGTGGAGAATGACAATGTTCAATTTCAGTAAGATTTTTACGTCACTTGCAACACAATTAGGTCTTATAACTGCCGAAGATTAAAGGTTATAATAAGGAGAGAACAATAGACGTTTGATAGGAAAGATGGAGCAGACCACACCAGAGCACCCGCCACTCCCAAAATGACAATATGCCTTGTCGACCGTTTTCAGATATTTTTCTAAATATAATAATAATAATAATTGCATTTATATAGCGCCTATCCATGCTCAAGAGCATGCTCTATGCGCTTTACAACTTTTATTACTCCAGCAGACCCTCTGAGAACACTCAGAAACATTCTCGGCTTCCGAGGAAGCATACAGTGCAAGCTGCGGATTTCACGCGTTCAAACACTTTCAAACTGGCAAGATCGTTCACTGTCTATAGCCGGGTACCCATTTCCACCTGGGTGAAGTGAGGAAAATTTATGCAATTTATGCAAAGTGCCTTTCCCAAGGACACATCGTCGGGCCCCTGACGGGATTCGAACCCTCGACTTAACGGCTGCGAGTCCGAGAGCCTAACCACTAGGCCACCGACGCCATAAAGTGTCTCTAATCTCTGTGACAGCAGAACAGAACAAAGCGTGAACAAAGTCCTATCTAACAAGCCCCACCCATGCTGCATTAGGTTTCTTTCATTATAACAATCGCATGCAGGAAAATTATTTATGGGAAATGAAATCACTAAAAGAATTCCGCGGGTTACAAGAGAGGAAAGCCAGGGAATCTAAAAGAAACTTAAAAAAGAAACTCGGAAATGTATTCTACCAATCGTTGTGTTAAAGTCTTGCACTACCCATTCATGCAGCATACCAATTTAAACCTAAATAAATTCTGCTTCATGTGACGAATTAATTTTTCATCTAGATCTACGTTAAGTGTGTGTGTGTGTGTGCGTGTGTGTGTGTGTGTGTGTGTGTGTGTGTGTGTGTGTGTGTGTGTGTGTGTGTGTGTGTGTGTGTGTGTGTGTGTGTGTGTGTGTGTGTGTGTGTCTGTCTGTCTGTCTGTCTGTCTTTCTTTGTATCGTTATTATTATTATCATTTTCATTAAAATTTATCATTATTGTTATCACTATTTTATTTTTTTTTAATTATAATAATAATTTCATTAGGATTTTAAAATATATTTATAAGTTGAGTTGGGAGGCGGGGTATGGGGGTGGAAAGGAGAGTTTGGATCTTATTTCAGCTTCATTAACGAAGACTTTGTTTAGTGTAGATTTTCTGTTGACAGCCCGTGTAAATCATATTGTCTCTTCAAGACAACAATTATCCGTTTACAGGAGAGAAACTGTTGCAATAGTCTTCAATTTCTTGCTCTACGTTTATGATCATCAAAGGTTACAAACGCTGTCAGCAGCAATTAGCTTCCGTCCAATATTATTGATACACGTCTGCAGTTTCCCTTTTCATACAAAAGACAGAATGACGTGGAATATAAAATAATAGTGTAACTAGGAAATATTATAGATATGGGTAACCTTCTTACCTGTGGGGAAAGCTTCAGCGAAGCCTACAGCGGTGCAGAGCATCACGGCGAAAATTGACATGGTCTTGAGTAGATATGCCATGGTGGAAGATAGTTTGTTAGAGAACTGCAGGAAGTTTCTACGTCTGCTATACCGTGGTGGTGACGTCACAGTTTGTGGTGCTCCTGACTGCGAAGTGCAAGTGAAAAACATGGAGCGTTAACTGCTTTATATACTGGTCTGCCGATCTTACATCAGTGCGATAAAAAGCTGTCTATTTAGCGGTCCCCGCCCTAGGGTTGGTCCACACAACACGACTGACGTAAACAAAGCTGTAAGGCGAGCTGAAAACACCACACCTTCAGCCCGTCATGTTATCAACTGAACGTTGGGCAAAGGTAGCAATATTCACGTAATTTACAATGTACTTTTTATAGTGGTTGCTTTCATAAGGAAAGGGAAAAAAATATTAGCAATTTTACGTTATTTACAATAACTTACTTTTTGTTAGTGGGTGTTTTGATAACAAAGGGAAAAAACAAACAAACAAAAACGAAAGAACTGTTTATGTTGATGGTTGTTACGTCCTATCTGACTCAGTATAGGTTATTTCGAACAGTGAACACATGGTTCGTTGGCTCGGATCAACGAGACTTTTTTTTTTGTTGCAAACTGAGAGAGATGATTTATGGCCATTCAGATTCGAACTTCATCAATTTGCTGTTGGGTTCTGTAGCCCACTACTCCATTTAAGACAGAACTTTAAAAGTTTTTAAACCCCAACAGTATAGTCTTTATTCAGCCGAAGGAGAGGGTGTCCTCGAAAACCTATATTTTTTTTTTTTTTAGCTGTTGTAAAAGTTTTACGGCACTTGCCACACTATTAGGTCATTAAAGTATCGAAGATTAGATGTGTTACAAAAAGAGTAATAAAAACAAAAAAGAGGGGGG